TGAGGTCCCTGCACAGTCGTGCCTTAGTATGATACTATATTGTTTTTTCCTAATAAAAATCTTTGATTGCTCCTGCACAGGCACAGAAACGCTGTCAAGTATTTGTTAGCTTATTTTTTTATGTCTGACTATATAAAAGTGACCAAAAACATTCTGCAACATGCAGCTCTCCTTTAGCGGCAGTCATTATCGTCCCTGCATCGGAATTAACTTGTGAAGTCATGCAGCTGTTGCTGAAGGTCACTAAGAGATGAGGTCATAGGATCCTTCAGGAAATATGTCTGCTGGGGGGTAGACGCTACTGCGGGAGGGATAGATTGTATAGATGGAAAGGCGACTATTCTTGCCTGATAGATTATAATTACCTCTAAGAGAAAAGGATAAAGCTATCCAATCTGTAGCCTCACATAAACACACTGATACACATACTTTATCGCTGCTGAAGGTAAAAATGTTAATTGTGTTCAAGTGCCTCCTTTGCCTTTATCAGTATCTCCTGACCCAATAATCCAACTCTGTCGTCATACAAGCAAAGCAAGGACAAGCTATTTATCTCCAGCCAATGTACACACACATGTACACACACAGCTCAAGTGAGCATCATGAAAGAGGGGGTTTGAACAGCTGCTTCACCAGTCTGGACCATGGGGCATGCCTGTCATTCACCATATGTCACCCACATACCCGAAATAAAACCTTGCAGAAAAATCTCCCACATTCTTACACAAATGGGGGAAAGACAGATGCTACTATTATGGATAAAACACACACACAAATACAGACATGCAAAAGTAGAATTAATTAAAAAGGAAAGAAAATGTGTGTGTTTGTGTGTGTGCCTGTATTTTTTATGTGACCAAGAGGTCGTCCTTTTTCCATGCTCAGCTTCCAGCTCCTCTTAGATGAGCTATTCTGATCCTCTGGTCCTCTCCATTCCCAACCTGGCTTATCTGAGGTATGCCCAACCACACATAAACACACACCAACAGACTAAAGCACACACTCATCACTGATCAACCTCCCATCAAACTCCCTTTTCCACTTGAAAGTCTTCAATGAAAAGAAGCACGTTTCTGAATCAGACATTTTGGCTGCTCGTGGGTGAATGATGGACTTTCAGTGTGAGCGAGTCCACATTCCTGCTTTCCAGAATAGCTTTTCCCATTAGAGAGCACATTCTGGACTGTCATCAAAAATAAACAGAGATGCAAAAAGCCTTTAGAGAAACCCAGCCAGAAAAAAAATCTCTTAGGCTTAAAGATGGATTAATGTGTCACACAAATATGTGACAGTGAGAAATATGAAGCAAGTTCATTACCTGTTGTAGGTGTGTTCACAATAGCCGGACGTGTACTCATATACATGGATGACATACGAACCTGTTTCAAAGAAATCCAGGGATGGAACTCGAGTCAAACCCCAAACATGTGTTCACGCTGCTCACTGACCCACTAATTCACTCAAAACAGGTGAGGCACAAAGTGAACTGGGCCACAGCCAAACGAGTGTCAGGAACAGTGGCCAGAATTCCCTTCCCCTCTGTCAAGTATTGTAATGCAATTATTACATTTTTTAACTAGTTTTGTTTCTTTGTGTTGTTTTAACTCAAGCAAAGCAGTTTGTAAAATGACTAGAAGCAAAAGGAAAATGCATTCATATATTTCAATAAAGTTTTTTTTTTTTACAATCATTCATACAGACAGGTAATCCTCCTTCCCCAAAAGCCAGTTTGGAGCCAGGAAAAATCCTGAACTGTCAAAACTGTGTAAACTTGAAGGGACATTACTTTTGCTCAGAAGTTTATATACGATTACACTCTGATTTAAATCATTTTTAAATGAATTTGCCCATCAAGGAAGTCACTCTTGCCTTTCTAGTCAAGAACAAGTAAATGTAAAATAGCAAGTATATTAGTTTAGTTTAGGATAGGTGAATTTACTCACTTCAGTTTATCTCTTTATTTATTTAAATATTTTGTTAGATGCCACTTACTGTACTATAAATAACATTACTGCAGTTTTTTTTATTATTATGTCACAGTAATGCTATTTGTTAGAGGCAAAGTTTCATATTTTCAAAAAAATACAAACATTGACTCACAATCACAATCAATTCATGTAAGTTATATTGGAAAAACTTCACTAAATTGATGAAGGCTGAAATGTAAGATGATAGTTTTGTAAGTACATGGAATAGTTTTAGTTTGTTTTGTTTAGATTCTGTGTTAATTCCAGTTAACTGAAATGTATTTTTGCTCCTAGTTTTAGTTCAGTTTTATTTAATTAGAATAACATAAGGACAGCACAGTGAAACAGTTTCAAGCCAGGTGTAATTTAGCTATTCAAAATCCTAAAAACACCTACAAGAACCAGAAAGTAAAATCTCTAGTGACTCTAGTGCAGCTGATTCATTTATTCGTATTTCAGGTCAGATTACAAACCACAAGACTCGCTGAGGGCTGAGCCTACAGTTAACAGCTGCAATCTCCATCAAATCGTCTACTCACATTACTACCTTGGCAGCAAACTTGACTGCAACATACTGCATGCATACACATATATCAGATCTACTGTACCTTGGCCACCTGTAGAGGTTTTTGCTGCTCAGCTCCTCCCTGGAGTCTGAAACCCCACGGGGCTCCTCCTGAGAGAGACACCACAATCTCCTCAGCTACCATTCCTGCTCTCAGCTCACAGCCTGCTGTGTGCCTGTGTGGTGGTGTATATGCTGCTCTCCCCTTCTTCAGTTCCTCACACTCTGTGAGTATCAATAGGTATCTCACTGCTTTCCGTCACTCCACCCATGAGGAGACAGAGGGTGGCTGGCTTTCATCTGCTCACGCTGGAATGCTGTGTCAGAGGGTGGGAGCTCAGCAGGGTGAGAAGGGGCAAAAGTGTGTAGCGTGCTTGTGTGTATGTGTGTGTGCATTCGTCCTCACTTGGATTCAACACTTGCCATGTCACTCTCCAGCACCCTGTCCTGCAAGGGGCACTTACTGATATATCCTCCAGAAATAACCATCAGCACCACTCCCTCTTCAACCCCCCCAGCTCAGCAAGCCTGACCAGCACCCGCGGTACATGGATCAGTCTTCTTAATGGATGACTATCCAAGCTGACAGTTTCAGAGTGGGTGCTAAAGGTACTTCTGGCTCTGAGGAAGTAGAGGTTTGGTGCTGTAGCTGACTTTGTGAAAACTGTTACAGTTATTTCAATAAATGAGGAGCTTGGCTGATGTATTAAAGCTTCATCACATCAGACGTCGCTAGAGGAAGGCAAACGATTAAAGAATTTGTACTTGACTACCTGATCCAAATTGCAAACCCATTTGAGATGATTCAAAAGAGAAATTGTCCTGCATTTTGCAAGCTCAAAATGCGGACAAATTTGGCAGTTCTACAGTGTATTGGCTTCTTCTGGCTTACATTTAGAGGCGCTGGAAGTCGGCCGCATGTGCTCACACATATTCAGATGGCTACCTCATATCACATTGTGATTATTTGATGAATAGCCAACACTCCTAACCGAGCAAGATAAAACCAGCATCCCTGAAAAGGGTAGCATGGGCTATCAGGAGAACTTTTTGGTGTATGTTCTGTATGTTCTGTATGGTCTGTTGTTAGCCAGAATGCTCAAAATGCTACAGAGGACAGGCATTTAAAAACTGATGGATTGGGGGTTTGTCGTCTTACATTTTTTGAGGTTTTTACTGAGATGTTTATCTATTTATTTATTTTATTTACTGGCTGTACCACAGCGATGATGATTTACACCAAATGGCATTCCTGATGTATCCAAGCTTCAGACTGGAAGGAGTAGAGTGGCTCTTGGCAAGAGGGAAATGGAAGGTTTACAAGATGGTGAAACCTGCTACATTATATGGTTTGGACTTGTTAGCACTGAAAAAAGACAGAAGGCAGAGCTCCTAAGGATACAACAACACCACTACTATGTACATTTATAGCTACTTTTACTTTCTAAGTAGGTAAAATACTTATTCCACCAAAGGGGAAAAAGAATACTCAATATAAATAGATTCTGAAACTCTTTTTCAGTGCAACATTTGCATTGCAACTGTTTTGCAGCACCTATGTTAACACATAATATAGGTGCTAGAGTTCCATAATACAGTGTCTATATCAGGGAACGAGTTTTCGACACTAGTTTAAAGATTTTCCATATGCCAGATGCCACAAACCAAACCTGTTACCCCATGGGGTAAAACTTTAATTTATTTTTATTTTATTTATTTATTGGTATTATTGCAATGAAAATTCAGTTATTCTTAATGATGAGATATTGTCATGTATGTTGCGGGTCCTGAGGACAAATTTCATTTTTATGTGGAAACATGTAAATGAAAATGAAAAGGGACTAAATTTAAACCTAAATATACATTTCTATTTTTAAATGTTTTGCCACTACATACACATTTTTATTGTATTTTATTGTAAAACTGAGACTGAATAAACTCCTCAGGAAGTTGGCATGAAACTCACCATCCTGGAGGAGATGGTCGGTGACTTCTATATTTATATTGATATCTTTATTTCGTTTTCTCTGTTATATCTCTATTTTTGTATTGGATTTATTGTGTGTTTTATGTATACTGCTGTGACATCTCAAGTTCCCTCTGATCTGACCTTATCTGAACAAAACTGCTCAAAAGTGACTCTTTTTTTTTTTTTTTTAGTAAGGGTTGATTACCCTGACCCCAGCAGTACCCTTCCTCCACTGGTTTTTGGTCCCCTCTGGGCCACCACAAATATCATGAAACAGCCCCTGTTTAATAACTTTTTTTAATAACTATCAATGCTTTGATTAAAAAGACTCCCATTTTACATGTTAAATAGTTGGCTGCCGATACCGTATACCAATTACACCGCTGCCTTGTCAAATTCCCGAAGAAAAGGTGAAAAAACAAACCCCAATTCTTACAATGAAACCAAAACTCTCACACAGCAGCCTGAACAGCTTCCAGCAACCACTGCTGCGCTCTCTCGGAGGAAGTCACTTTGAGGAGTCCGGATGTGGACGTGGCACAGCGCTGCAGCAGTTCCGCTGAATGTCCGCTTCTGATACCGAGAAGGGATTAGTGAGCAACACCCCGGTACGACATCGGCGTCTCAGTTTGTCGACCACCGGGCTTCAGAGTTTGCATCAAATCTAGGACAGCCTTACTATTTACATCACTTTGGAGGTAGGTTTAGGTTTTGATACGGTTTATTCTTTGCCCTCCCGGCTTCGCTGGGGATCTTGGATTTCGCTACGTTTGCTAATGCTTGGCTAATGCTAAGGCACTGCTAGCACCGCTCTGACGAAAAGCTAGGAGATTACGAGCTAACTTAGCATTTGGTCACAGCTGATGTGCTGTCATGATTCAGGCTGTGTGGTTGCTAACATTAGCATGCTGGGGTAGCTGGAGTGTGGTTAAATAAGGAACGTGTCCTGCTTTGACCCCTACTTAGAGTCAGAACAGTTACTTGTATAATAAGAGAGGCAAGTTGTTTTTGGCTCTTGGTTGACATGTTGTCCGGCTAATGTTAGCATTGCTAGCGAGCTAATTATAATGCGGCGGCATTACTACTCGCCAGATTTCACACTTTCCTCCTACAAAACAGTCTTTTCCCTACCTGGCACTTGTTTTTTTATTCTCAAACACCCTATTTCTGTGTGAGTTTTAAAAAGTTCTCCGATGTTTGGATAAAATTACTAGCCCAAACCTTTAGCAGTGCACCTTAGAACAGATGTGGGTCACTCGGTAGGCCCGACATAGTAAAAGAACAGTTACGGTTCCAGCGATTGTGTTTCTCGCTGTGGCACCTGCACTGCTGAATTATTCAATGGCCCCGCTGGTTTAGCTCGTGTTTGTCTGTCAGACGATACTGATCACTCATGTCTTATATTTTAGGCCTGTGTCCAGGAACAAAGTGAATAAAAACACCACTCACCCACATCTGTTAGCAGGGTTAAAGTTGACATGTGATGGAGTTATGCTCATAAAGTTGGTTTTCATAATTCAGCATTTGGTTTCTTCTCACTGCTTTATTTAGTTTTTATTTTATGTTATTGACGATTTAGGATTGACTTACTTTCCATCTTCTCATTTGAGATATTTTGAGTGTGGTTTTCATCACTTTAAGTATTAGATTTTATAAGTTGTTTAGAAAAGTCATGGCAAGACAACACTGACTTTCTGTGATGCAGACAGCATGAAAAGTTGCTTACATGCATTTTATTGGCTTATTTAACCAGCTTGACAACGTCTAAAACCCATTTCTTAAATGGTTATTTTAGTTTTCTAACTATACAGTCTTTAGATATAACTAGTCATAACTATTTTTTTAATCCTTTTAGTTGTCTACAATACTTTCTCTTTAATAACTTGTAAAACCTGTACTCAGGTATTATCTGATACTATCTTCAATACCACTTTCACAGCTGCAAAAGAGTTGCATAATAATTTTGCATTTTGTGTCTTTTTAGCAATAGGTGTTCGATATTAATGTTTGTTTACTTTCTTTTGGTTGTAATCTTTTTATTTAATGTTATTTAATTTTTGTAGCACATTGTGTAAAAACTCAAAAGGCTGAGGGTGTGGCCAAGTCAAACATAAAAAGCCAATAAAGGTTTTGTCACTGAACCAGGAAATGTTAATGTCATAAGTCAGTGGGATTTAAATAATAAATAAATAATAATGTCAGACTGTAGACAGTTAGAGTTTAGAGTCCTGCAGGGCAAAGCTCTTCTGTGTCAGTTTGCCTGTTTTTTAGTTCAGGTGCTTGGTGCCAAAAACTTCATTTTGGATCCATTATGTTTTATGTGGGTGTTAAGATCTTGTTATTTTAGTTAGACTTACTGTTTAAACTGCTTTGGAAAAAACGTTTTCTTAAACATGACAGTTGTCAGTAAATGTTCTAGCAGTATGTGCAAGCACTGCTGTGGACAGATTCCCCCTGCTCTTTGAAAGAGTCTGTGTCTTTGTTTCAGAGAAACACAATACCTTCACAACAGCCTTTATCAGTACCGTCCTTATTTCAGGGGCTTTCACACTACAGGTGCCCTGGTTGTATTATTGTTCACACACACGAAGCAGGCGAAACAAGTTTAGTCCTTAACTATGACATCTAAGTAACTAACTGTATTGTTATTTCACAATTTCATCCAGATTTAGGGATGAACTGAGGATGAATGTAAACCAGCACACGCCAATGGCCTCTCCATATGGCCAGCCCCAGCCTAGTTTTGGCCAGCCTGGTTACGCTCCCCTGGATGGGAGCTATCCAGCACCCTACGCACCCTACAATGGCCCTGCGTCAGCCTATCAGCCTGGGGCTCCACCGCAAGGTAAAGTGCAGTTTGTTAAAAAATGTGCGCATGAGTGAGACATCCAGCAGTTCAGGTAGGCTGTACTTTAAGCATTCAGAGGGATATAACCTTGGAGTGTCCTACATGCCTCCTGCCATGTGAGTGATCATGTATGTGTGAGAAAAGCACAGCACCTGTGCATACTAATCTGATTCTCAACTGCCCTCTCCTTCCTTCACTTTGCTTCATGCACTTCTCTTCATCTTCTTGTATTTGCCTCCTTCCCCTCTTTTCTTCTATTTCAGGTTACTCTCCTTTCACAAGCTTTCCCTCTAAGGCTTTGGCAGCCAACCCAGTCTCTGACCTCCCCTCTCCTCTTGACTTAGGTAACCAGCTCATCTCTGTTTCTCACTCATTTCACACTTCATATGCCCTGCAATCATCAAATCCTCTCTGTACCTGCAGGTATTATTCTTCCTGCTGTGTCATTTTTCTCAGCATATAATTGAACATCTTTCTGAGACTAATGCCAGTGACGTTCAAGTACAGCAGCCAACTATACACCAACCTTTGTGTAGGCCAGAAATATAAATTATATCTCTGTTATGTGAGAGACATAAATTTAGTCTTTGAATCCACTGGTCATTACTTCTTTTGCTTTTGATTCGCTGCCTTTTGCACACAGAAGGTTTTAACAGCAGGTGGGGAGGGGGTTTCTGCACTCAAAGCTAGAGCTCTGCATCTCAGATGACCATATTAGAAATATCCCCTCCCTTGTTGACATTGTACGTAAGAGTAGAAAAAAACTAATTGTTGGACTTAGTCGTACATATGTTGACTTGATATTTGGTCATGTTTGTTATGAGCATCCACCTTTGCAACAATAGATATTTGGCATAATAGGTTCCCTTTAAACAAACTATTAGGGTCAGATTTACAGTCTGAATGGTGAAAAAAAAGTTCCTGTATGAACTTGTCTTACAAATCTGGTTGATACTCCTCAAACACAGCATTTGTTATCTTGGTTTTCTATCTGTGCAAACCCACGAGGGAAAAATATGTTTGGCTTATAATAGTGTTACCTCAGTTAGGGGTGGGCGATATAAACGATATACGATAGAAACGATATAAATTTGGCCAACGATAGAGATTTTGACTATACCGCTCTATCGCGATAGTGCATGTTGATGATGTCATCAAGCTGAATTAGTTTCAAAAATCTCTCAGTCAGAACATGGTATGTCATGTTTAGGTGGAAACTAGCGAGCTAACTTCCTGCTAACTTCTAACTCCGTTAAATTTAATAAATTCTGTTTTCATGGATGCCTGGATGTTAAACTTAATTGTTACACCTGGTAAAGCAGCAACGCTGATGATTTTATTAAAGATGAAAGAATTTAGACCGTTTTTAACTCTTAAGTGTTCGTTTGACTTTCGGACCTGAGGGAACGGAGTTTTGGACCCAGATTACTCCGCAAAGCTCCTCACTACGGCAGCCGTAATGCTCTGACAATCCATCAAAACATTTTTAACAGATTTCTGCACTCCAAAATCAGTTTGAGGTCAGTAAGCACAACCAGAATTCATACACAAGGCACACTCGATTTTTGAGAAAATTAAAGGATTTTAAGTGTGCCTTATAGTGTGGAAAATACGTTATACAGAAGACAAGAATATATCGCGATATATATCGTTACCGCACGTGCTTCAAATTATACCGTGATATGGATTTTAGACCAAATCGCCCAGCCCTAACCTCAGTTATCTCAACATACTAAGGTTCATACCAGAGTTGATTCACGATTATTTGGTAGCGAAGTTGCTTTTTGTCACTATATGTAGTAATTATTTGGCTCTTGCATTTCAGGTCCTGTCAGGGGTCCTCCTACCTCTGGACCCCCGCCTGTCTCAGCACCTCAGCAGTACAATCAGTACAGTCAGAGTCAAGGGAGCATGCAGAATGGACCCCCACCTCCTACACAGGCACCACCCAGGTAATTTTTTTTCGCCTTTGCTGTACAAGTTTATTGAAGCAGTTGACAGAATCCATTATAATACCCCAGATACTAGTACTGAGACTGTCAAAATCTGGTGCTTTCCTTACAGGAGTGACATGTAGACTACAAACCAACCAAAGCACATTTTTAGAAACAGTGATGTGTTAAGGCACTCGACAAACTGCACAGAAACTGAAATTTAAGAAAGCAGGAGGTACCTTGGTTGCCAATACTCTGCATTTCTTTTTGTGTTTATCTGCTGTTTAAAAGGCTGGATTAGGACAGGTGATGTTGAGGAACCAGGTGAGCTTGTCATGCTAGGATATTGTTATCCTGATTGGATTTGCTCCAAGATACGCTAATAATAAGCTAAAAATGTGCATTCCTTGTAAAAACATGGACAATTTTGTAATCAGGTTGTCCTAATCAGTATGTTAGTTCAGTTACAGTAAATTTGAGGATACAGACTGAAAGTTTATATTTTATTTTAAAAACATGGCCACCTTATACTGTTTAATTGATAGAAGAAGCTGTGTCAGTCAGCCCTGACCTTCTCTGTGTGCACGTGTCAGAGCAGAGTCACAGCTCAGGGAGAGGACACTGCACAGCATATCTTCACAACTCACATGGGTATGACATTTATAAATATTCAAAGGTTAGATGGTAGAGGAGGTGAGGTACATAGTGTGCAGAAGTTGTTAACTTTCTGCAGAGTCTATCACCTCCAGCCTTTATGTAGCCTTCAGATTAGCTCAAGAACAGTGAATAGAGGGCTTCGTTGAATGGGTTTCCATGTCCAAGCAGTTACATCTTAGCATTACATCACAAAGCATGATAGAAAGCGCCGGATGCAGTAGTGTAAAAAATGCTGGGAGACATGTTTTCTGGAGTGACGAATTACACCTGTCTCTCTGGTAATCCAGTGGATGAGTCTGGGTTTGGCAGTTGCCAGGACAACTGTACCTGTGACTGCATTGTACCAAATGTAAAGTTTGGTGAAGGGGGGATTATAGTGTGCAGTTATTTTTTCAGTTTTTTTTCAGTCACTCGGCCCCTTAGTTCCCGTGAAAGAAACTCCTAAAGCTTCGGCATATCAAGCCATTTTGAACAACTTCATGCTCCCAACTCTGTGGGAACAGTTTGGGAATGGCCCCTTCCTGTTGACTGGCCTCCACAGAGTCCTCACTTCAACTTGATAGAACACCTTTGGGATGAATTAGAGTGGAGAATGCAAGCTAACATCAGTGTCTCCTAGTGCAATCAACTACTGAAAGAGCTTTGTGTTTTCAGACCTGCTGTCTCTCAGCCGTACAACCAGGGTGCTATGAACCTATCGGGGCCGCACCCTTCTTATCCCCAACACTATGGACCCCCATCCACAATGCAGCAGGTTACCAACCAGATGACGGGGATGCAGATCACCTCTGGACCACCAACCGCTGCTGGGCCAGGATATGGTAATTTGAATAGATTTGTTTTTCAGTTTAATGCATGCAGTCTTTTATTCTCTTTATGATATTTAAAGATTGTATTGTCTTTCGCTCTCTATTCAGCTCCACCTCACAGCTCCCAGCCTCCTGTCAGCACTGGGTACTCGGCCGCACCCCAGGCCTCCTACACCCAAGCCCCACCCCCTGTGTCCTCTGCTCCCACCCAGCCGCCACCTCCCAGCGGCCCCGCAGCTCCTCAGCAATATTATAGCGGCCCACCGCCTTCTTCTCAACAGCCATTCAATTCCTCTCTTCCCCCTACCTCTCAGCAGCAGCAGCAGTTCACCTCTTCTGTACCTCCACATCCTCCTCCTCAGCAAACCTTACCTCCATCCTCCTACTCGGGTCCGGTGCCTACACAAAGTCAACCTCCTGTTCCCCCAGTGTCCCAGGCACAGCAGTCCTTCCCTACACCCCAGCCCCCTTTCTCTTCAGCACCTCCACCTGTCAGTCAATCTTCCTTTGCCACTGGCCCTCCGCCTTCTGCCCCAGGCTCGTTTCCACCTCAAGGCCCCCCTCCTAGCTCTCAGCCTGGTTCTTTTCCTCCTCCTGGCCCCCCTCTAACCTCAGCCCCCTCTTGCCAGTACCCAGGTCCCATGCCACCCCAGCAGCAACCCCCTCCATCTCAGCCATCCCCCTATCACTCAGGGCACCATCCTCCTAGACCTCAAATGCCTCCCACTTCCATGGCTCAGAGCAATCACCTGCCTCCAGGACCCCAGGGCCCGGCAGGTCCTCCTGGGCCACTACAGCAGCCTCCATCTCAACCTGGGATGCAGACAGGATACCCTCCTCAGCAGAATGGTTAGGAGACGGCTGTTAAAGTAAAATCAAAAAGGCTTATCATTCGTTTTCTTTGTATCTCAGCTGTTTTGCTGTTTTCTGCAGGTGCTTTTGGGCAGGTGAGAGGCCCTCAGCCTGGGTATTCAGGCCCTTACCCTGGGCAACCAAACTATGGAGCACCAGCTCCTGCTCCACCTGCACAGAAAAGACTTGACCCAGATGCCATTCCTAGCCCGGTGAGCTGACACAAATACATATACTGTTTAATTCTCAATTGTTTTGGTTTGCCACACAAAACCAATTCTTAAATCTCCAACTTTTAGAATCTGTATTTGGTTGTAATGATGTACTGAGCTGCATTATATTGCGAGGCTTTCTCAATGTTCAACCCTCAGGGGAAATAAATAAATGTAACAACTAGGCCATCTCAAATTCATGGCCCAGGCTACATCCGGGCCTTTGCAAGTTTCGACCCACATATGGGTTTAGATTATTTTTTTCTAAAATTTCACTCTTGGTTCTGATCCACACTTCATATGCAACATTTTACCAAAGTAGCGTTAGCAAGGAAGGTGGAACAAGTTTCTCAGTGTTAGAATTGTTGCATATTAACACATTAATACAGCGTAGTTAAGTATAACATCACTTTTAACTATGATGTTCATATAATCTATAAAAGATTTCCCTTAAAAGTGGAATTTATGCGAAATCTGATGGTATTGCACTTGATTTTATAGGCCTAAGTGAACACTGAGTGTGAATGATTTTTGCATGCTGCACCTAGAGCTGTGTGATAATTCTGTTATTATGTGTTCTCCTTACAACTGTTATTTAGATTAATTTAATTTATTATAAAAGATTCAGAGTTTAGTTCAGTAATAAGAATTAAAATATCTCAGCAGTTTATTCCTAGAGTAAGTTTTTGAAGTGGGACCATTTTTACACCTGACAGCATCTCTCTCGGTCTAGAAAAAAGATGGCAAGTTGGTAAATAATGTGATAAATGCATGTGTGTTTACTCAACATGGTCATAAATTTGGATTTCATTGTAAATGTATTATTTTCATACTGCAAAGCTCTAGAATGGAAGAAATCTAACCTTTTTTAACTATGTAACTTCAGATTCTAAGCATGTTTGCTACCACTAGTTAGTTTAAACTTATTTCCACTTGAGCTTACAATATTACTAATAACTAATCAATAATACTGATGTGTTTCTGTCTACATAAAAGCAATGCTACCTGCTGCTGAGCTCAGTCTTGCTGATCTTTCTCCTCTCACACTCCTTTTTATCTTTTACTCTTTGTATTTACTTGTTTTGCACAATTTGCTGGACAAACATTTGAATGTAAAGCAAGCGTCTGACATGCCGGCTGTGCAGAAACCGAGACATAGAATAGATCCAGACGCTATCCCAAGCCCAGTAAGTTTCCTGTGTGCCTTTTCCTCTGCTTCATCCTCTTCTTTGTGCCTGACTGCAGTAACCCACTGCCTCCTCCTCCTGTCTTTTTCCTCTACTCCCTTAAAGTTAGCGATCATGACAGTTTTTTAAAAATTTATGTTATGATCCAGTTGTTGTGTCACAGATACATTTTGATATGCCGATATCTGATATGTTTTTAGCAGAAATGCCCAGATGAAGTTGTCACAGCCCAAACAAGACACAACAAAGACGTAATATTTCAAGGGAAAGTTTAACATTGTAGAAAATGTTTCTTTGTGTTTTCTTGTTAAGAACTGGATGAGAAGATTGTTACGAGGGCTGTTCGATATAACGATATGTATCGGATGACGATTTAAAACATCTATCATTTTACGCTATCGTTTGTTTCGTGGTGTCGCAAAATAAACTGTTTACGGCAATATTTTTTCATCGTTTTGATGGCCACTGTAGCGGCTATATTAATTTCTTAAAGTTCTCTCTTTCTCTTATATTTTATATAACCACACTACGGACGGACAAGCGCCTGTTTTTATGTGTTGTCATTAGCAACAACGACGGTAAAACCATCGCGTGTCCACTTGTTTATTTTCCACATAAACCTTTCACAATAGCTCAAGATCCTGTTGAGACTTTTCAAAATAAACTGAATTACGTGAAAGAGTATGCAGAGTCTTTACGGATGAGAAGCAAAAAAGAGTCGTCAGGTGCTAAAAAAATAAACCTTCGACTCAAATGTTAGAACAGGCTTTTCCCCGCAGCACGCTGTGTAATAAATACTCACAAAGAAAACAGCGGCCTTTACAACTTGTGTCTAAAAATGTATAGTTTCATGCATCGCTTACAACACTCGACTCCAGCTACATGACGCCCAGCTGGAAACACTTCACGCAAGTCGAGCTGCCCGAGATTCACAGAATTTTCAGAAAATGTAAAATTTTTGTGATTTATATCGTTATGGGGACGATAGATGTCTTATATCGGGATATGAGATTTTGGTCATATCGCACAGCCCAAATTGTTACCATTCTCAATCTGGACAGTAGGTGTGAAACCAGTACATTTATCCTGCTAATCCTTTAACATAGCACAAATACATGAAATAATGATGAGTGTGAGTGTATTAGTTCCATACCATGACCTTTAGAGCTCCTTAAGTAACATGTTATTCTTTGTATAATTAATTCAAAAACTGAATGGTGAATATGAGGCACATCTGTGCCATGACCCTTTAATCTTTAATGGTTTCCTGTCTGACTGATTTTTGTGGGATCTTTTCATCCAGTTTGCAACAATAAAGAAAAAAAAAAAAAGCATTTTCTAAAGTCTCAAGCTGTCTCAAGTTTTCAAGAGACTGTCAGGAAAAATGACTAAGATGTAGTGCAACTTTTTGTGAAACTCAGATTACACATTAACAGCCTGTACACAAGGTCGTATAACCATTGCCCACCTCACTGTTTGTGTTTTTGGTCAGGATTTTGAGGCAGCTGGTTCTTAAGAGAACTTCTGTCTTTCAAAGTAAACTTTATACACCCACACAACGCCTATAATCCTTTTCCAAGCCCTGCATGCTAGCCTGGATTGGATTTACCATCAAGTCTCTTGCATTTAAGGCATGCCTTGATAAATCCTTCCCGGTTCCCGGGATTTAATTTTTTGTTTTAAATTCTGACAGAATGGCTTCAGCATGAATTGACTTTGTTTTTGTCCACTGATCAACACAGGGTATAGTTGTGTGTTAGTGGCTGCAAATCTCTGTGTGGGGGAGTTGTATACAAGTCTTTTCCTGCATGAGTGGTTTTCATGTGCCTCTTTTAATTTTTGTGAGACTCGGGGATAGTGTGTCCTATAAATGTCTTATATTGATGCTGTGATCATGTATGAACGTGGGCCACCTTTTGTCTCCCCCTCTTTATTAGATCCAGGTAATAGAGGATGACAAGGCTAAAACTACCGAGCCATTCACCACAGGGGTCAGGGGTCAAGCCCCACCACTGGTCACCACCAACTTCCAGGTTCAAGACCAAGGTTGTTCTCCTTCTTTTTTTTTGTCCTCTCTGGTTTTCTCAGCCACAATTATCCTGGAGTTCACTTCATTTGTCCAAATAGTTAACAAGATAACACTAAACTCATTCTTGAAAATAATTTTTACATTTAGCATTGATAATAATGGAGCAACTGTGCTTGTGTTTAGGGAATGCCAGTCCCAGGTTTATTCGTTGTACAGCCTACAACATGCCTTGCACAGCTGATATGGCAAAGCAGTCTCAGGTGCCATTGGCTGCTGTCATCAAGCCCCTCGCCACGCTGCCACCTGATGAGGTGAGTGATTCCTTTGCTCTGGCGCTCTCTCATATCTCTTTTGTGTTCTGAATTCTGTAAGTTACGATTAGACAGGGGTTTTTTTTTTCTCATTTGGAAATGCAGTATTGTATTAGGAAGAAAATCTTCTGCCTAGAGATTGAACTTTTAAAAAAAAAAAAAGGCAAACAAGCTCTGAATGCAAAAATATATCTTTGAAAATGCTGAATGTCTTTGAAAATTAATATTCTATTGTTTATTTGTCCCATTAACAAGCTTCTTTTGCATTTCATCGTCTTCATCTCATCGGTATCTGCGGCTGCATCTTCTGCTGCAACAGTGGAACAGTTATTACTCGGAGCCAGATTTGATAAAAGATTATTTTTCAGGAAAAAGCCTAATATGTAGATAGTATCAGAGGATGCACGTAATGTCAGTGGGATAATCTCTTCAAATCAAAGGTGGGAGTGGCTGCATGACCCTGTTTCATGCTGTCATCACGCCTAATATATATCCATTTGGATTGGACTTTCATGTTGTGTCATCTGGGTATGAAAAACAGCTGTAGGGAAAAGCAGGCATGACTTATTTATTTTTAACTGATAACAGTTTGGTACATATTGCGTCTCGGTTGAGTAATTGTGTCCACATTAGGGTGTTTGAATCCTTTTTCTCGTCCTGGTGAAGTTTAGTTTCATCTTACTCTTTTCGCGAATATCTCCTCAGGCCCCTCCACTCGTGGTGGACCACGGCGAGAGCGGTCCGATCCGCTGCAACCGTTGCAAGGCCTACATGTGTCCATACATGCAGTTCATAGAGGGAGGTCGCCGCTTCCAGTGTGGTTTCTGCAGCTGTGTCACAGAGGGTGAGCACATGTGTCCATAGTGATATGTGAAAAGATGCAGCGTTTGAGAGACTATAAATGGTACCCTGATGTGCGTTGATATCATTTCTGCTTTTCCCCCCACAGTGCCTCCACATTACTTCCAGCATCTGGACCACACTGGTAAGAGGGTGGACTGCTACGACCGGCCAGAGCTTTCACTGGGCAGTTATGAATTCCTTGCAACTGTTGACTACTGTAAGGTAAGACCCACGATTGAAAGCTCCATGAGGGGAAAAAAGTCTTACTGTGGGGTTTTCATGCTTTAAAGTACCTCATAAGTCTGCAGCTGACTATTTACCATGTATCAATCATCATTTTTTTAAATTAATTTTATGGTTTAATAATAAGTGATTAATTCTCACTAAAACGTCTCTATCTCAGTATGATTAAATTATTAATGGGCCTTGGTGGATACGATATTAATGGGATGGGATCTTTAAAAAATATATATCACCAATGACAGTGGCTGATACTTACTCATACCATCATAGCGCTTATCTTATTTTGTATTTATTTTTAAATTTTCAATTATTTACCTTTTTAATATGGTGATATTAACAAAGAAACTGGATCTATTATGAGTCTTGTCTTAGTAAATATCATAATTCCTCTTATTTAACAAGATTAGAAACATATTGACTTAATAGAAGCTTTTAACACTTGCTTTGCTATTTAGTTTTTGTAGTTATTATTTAGTAATTATTTGGATAAATACATTAGAAACTTTTCTTCATTTGGTTAGATGTTGTTGATAAAGTATGAGGTTCTCTTTTTGTTATCTTGGCTGAACTTAAAAATGTGCAGTGGCTAAAGAAAAAGCCTGCACTAGATTTAGTATTTTTGAGCAAAAAATGTGAGTGAAGCACAACGATCACCATCAGACGGCAGCTCTAGTTTTCTTTAACCCAAGTAAGGGATTCCAGATGTGACATGCTTGATCAGGCTAGGACTGAGGACATGTAAAGTGGAAAGAATCTGAAAAAAAAAAAATGTTGTATAAGTCTTGGTACTAAAGTCCGAGACCACATCCAATTAAACAACGAGTAATTCCTGAATGTACCTGTGTATCTATTTATGGCTTGTCTGTTTACAGAATAACAAGCTCCCTCCGCCTCCAGCCTTCATCTTCCTTATTGATGTGTCCTACAATGCTGTGAAGAGCGGCATGGTCAACATTGTCTGCCAGGAACTCAAGACCCTACTAGACTGCCTCCCCAGGTACTCAAGCACACACCTGAATGAAGAAAAGTACTGTCAGATTTGTAGCTCATCTCAGGGAATGTGGTTTTGATTTATTTATGTATTTATTTTTTTGATTCAGGGAGAATCCCGAAGTGGAATCTGCAGTGCGAGTGGGTTTTGTCACCTACAACAAGGTTTTGCACTTCTACAACGTCAAGTCGAGCTTGGCCCAGCCCCAGATGATGGTGGTGTCAGACGTGTCAGACATGTTTGTACCCCTGCTTGACGGGTTCCTGGTGAATGTAAATGAAAGCAGACAAGTTATCGAGAGGTGAGCAGCTATAAAGTGGACATTGACACTTGGACAAATACATGAATAGACAGACGGTCAGACACATTGATCTGGGTTAATTACTTGCTGCTTGTTTTTCCAGTTTGCTGGACCAGATCCCAGAGATGTTTGCAGATACCAGGGAGACGGAGACGGTGTTTGGACCCGTCATCCAAGCGGGACTGGAGGCACTAAAGGTAAACGCCTGTCGTGTTTTGTGTCCAGGTCCAGAAATCTTAGAGACTTCTTGAAGATGAACATAAAAGTTAACTTTCAAACTTTGAAAACCTTTAAAATGTCCATTTTTTCTCACTTGGTACCAAACTGCTTATGTTATTAATGTAAATAATAAATAACCTTTTAATGAAATTTGCTTTTGCTGCCAAATAGTAACCCTCTGGGGTCCCGGGTATAATTGGCTGCTTTTTACTGCTTTTGATTTGACGTCTATCTTTCACCTTTAAAAGCAGTTTACCTTGCCTTGTTTGGTATCATTCTTTTCAGCACAACCTCACATGTCTGAATTTCCAGTTATATTTTCATTTTCACTTACTGTATTAACACAATTGATCAAAAAGTAGAAAAAAGTTATATTTTTCTGTAAAAACCACAAACATATTTAGCTAATTTCCCTTCTGTGGGACTAATAAAGGTTATCTTATCGAATCATTTTAATAACTTTAAATGCAAATATAAATTGTACATTTTAAAAATCTATGCACGACTTTGGCAAACAACAAAATTATTTGCAACTATTTACATAAAAATGCAGCCAAGGCCTCAGGCGTGTTTTATATAACCTCTTATAGGAGAACACCACAGGCCTTAAAGCAGGAGGTGTTTCTTTCGCTCGCTGTGTCATTGGTAAAACTTATAAAAATGCCACATGTGGCCATATAGTTTTTTGAAAAGTCGATATGGTACATTTTTCCACCAATAGCAAGAGGGTGTTTTTTGTCTGTCCTCTTTTTTTAGAGTGCTTGCTAGCACTGAAATGCAGTTTTTAAAAAAAATAAAAAAATTTCCCACCAGTGAACACGACGACAGTATTCAGGAAAAAACATTGTGTATATTTTTTATCATAACTCTGGTTCTATGTGGTCTATCGACACAATTTAAAAACTGCTATGTATTTTGAAGTCAGTACTTTCAACACAAGTTGAAATGGAGACTGTATCTTGTTGCCGTGTCTTCTTAAATTGGTCATGTGATTTGGATGCCCTGTCGCGTACGTTGATCCCAGAGGGTTAAAGCTACAACGATGGGCAGCTCTGAAACAAAACATTTGTTTATATTTAATTTTTGACTAAATCGATCTTAAAAGAGGGGCCTCTTACACTTATTTTCAGTTCCATATTTTTTATTTTTGGACTCTTCTAGAGTAGCTTTGTGTTCACTGTTCAAAATAAACCCTGTTTATCTTATACTGCAGCTTTGTGGAGCCCTTTAGCTTATGCACTTTTTGAAACATTTTCCTAATGACAGCTTCTGACACAGAAAAGCAGTAGGTGGTGCTCCAGTGCCATTTATTTGAGTCACAGTCTGATGACCTGTGTCTTCTCTCCCCACAGGCTGCTGACTGTGCTGGGAAGCTGTTTGTGTTTCACACCTCTTTGCCCATCGCGGAAGCCCCAGGAAAACTAAAAAACAGAGAAGACAAAAAACTGATTGGAACAGACAAGGAGAAGGTAGCATGAGACATGACTTCATATTGTAGCAGGTCAACTTCTTGTGTTATTTCGCTCACTCTCTTTCCTTTCTTGTCGTCCACAGTCGCTATTTCAGCCTCAGGTGGGTTTCTACAGCTCTCTGGCTAAGGAGTGTGTAGCCCAGGGCTGTTGTGTGGATCTTTTCCTCTTCCCCAACCAGTATGTGGATGTTGCCACATTAGCTGTGGTTCCCGTCTCCACTGGAGGTTCAGTCTATAAATACACCTACTTCCAGGTGAGCAAAAGTCATTCTGCTCCTTCTTCAGTGTCACTCCAATAGATAGCATGAGAGTTTTGTTTCAATGTTCTACATCCAGCCACTTTGAAGAAAACATTGTGAGTCAGCACCAGCTGGATTGTATAACTATGTGCTTTCTTTATTGCAGGCCCAGTCGGATCAGGAGCGATTCTTAAACGACCTCAGACGAGACGTTCAGAAACTAGTTGGGTTTGATGCTGTTATGAGGGTGCGAACCAGCACAGGTGAGACTTCAGCACTTCAAAACCAACAAAAAAGGGCTATAGATGTAGCATGTAACAGCTGACTTTAATTTCCCTCCCCTCAGGCATCCGAGCAACGGACTTCTTCGGCTCCTTTTATATGAGTAACACCACAGATGTGGAGCTGGCAGGTCTCGACTGTGACAAGGCCATCACTGTTGAGTTCAAACACGATGACAAGCTCAGCGAGGAGACGGGGGCACTCATGCAGGTGTGCATGCTTGTAACTAAATCCTCAAAGGAGAGTGTAAACAAACCAGGCTTTTCAAAGGGTTTAAAGTTCTTACAAATGGCAGCAACGATGATTTAGTAAAGCATCTGGCATCACACTGTGTTTATGTCAGATGGATAGAGTTCTCCTCTGCAGATATTTTATTTAAAAAGGGGCGAGTACAGTTCGCTTGCTCTCCTGTGAGTTATCTCAGTGAACTCCAAGATAAATGTCATGCACTGCAGCTGTCGGCAGCAGTCTTTGTTCTGTTCTGCAGCCTTGGTGAGCTCTCATTGAACCAGTTCTCCACCTGCTACAGGTGGTACTGGTTAACGTCGCCCTCAAACTCAAAGTGGATCTGCAGAATAGAACAAGGGCTTGTCCTCTAGATCAAGGATAGGAAAGACTGAGGCTAGCTGTTTAGAAATGAATGTTCAGATAAAGGTAATATAGAAAGTTGCCAAATATACTCGTTTGATGTGGAGGACTGGTGATTGTGGTTACGTTTAAGTGGTTTCAAGAAGAGGCAACGTAAGTCGCACAGCATTGCTGAAGTATGAAAAGTTTTGTGTCTCTGTTCATTCTAATAAAACCTGTTTCCTCGCAGTGTGCCGTGCTGTACACCAGCTGCAGCGGCCAGAGACGTCTCCGCGTCCACAACATGGCCGTGAACTGCTGCTCTCAGCTGGCTGACCTGTACCGCAACTGTGAGACAGACACAATCATCAACTACTTCTCCAAATACGGTGAGTTTTTGTGCTGTGGAGGAGTGTGAACTCCTTAAATGCTCTCTCTCTCTCCCTCCAGTGTTCTCTAACGAGGTGTGAGTGGAGAATTGAATGAATAACATTTTCTAAAAATAATACCAAACAGTGCTGAGCTGCTCCTGCGGAGCTGCAAATTGCCTAACAGTAGTAAGCTGTAGCTCCTCTTGAGAGCTTGCTGTTATCAACAACTTTCTAAGGTCACTGACTGAAGGGAAGCAAAGACGGTAAATGTTAGATATCTGAGAGAAAAGTGGTTGCAGTTAATTTCATTTAGATGTCAGTGTAATGCACCATAGCAGGTGATACATGAGTGCGTGTGTTTTTGGTTTCTTCCAGCTTTCCGTGGCATTCTCAGCAACCCCACTAAGGCAGTGAGAGAAACTCTTGTGAACCAGTGTGCTCAGATTCTGGCGTGCTACAGGAAGAACTGTGCAAGTCCCTCATCTGCTGGTCAGGTACTGTGAAAGCATCCACATGCATACTCAGGAGGTCAACTTTCACATCCACCAAGACCACACACGGTTCACAGAGAGACTCAGAACGGAATGTTTAAAAGCTGCACTGCACTCAAACGAAACACAAGATGATGATTGTAATCACTGCTTTCATGACGCTTTTTATGGATAAAACAACAGATGAATAATGGAAGATAAAATACAAATGAATCAAATGAATCCCTTTCCTCGCTATAATCTATATCCGTTTCATATCAAACCCACAAAAACCTGCCTTTCTCATAAACTGATTCAGCATATTTACTCGTCATTAGGCGTTTGAATTGATGACAGTGGGTTTTTGTTTTGTTTTCTTCGTTCCCCAGTTGATTCTCCCAGAGTGTATGAAGTTGCTCCCAGTATATCTGAACTGCGTGCTGAAGAGTGATGTGCTGCTACCTGGAGCCGACGTTTCATTGGATGACCGAGCTTACCTTAGACAGCTGATCAGCTGCATGGATGTTGCAGAGAGTCACGTCTTCTTCTACCCCCGCCTGCTGCCAGTGGTGAGACCGCAGACAAAGGCCCCCAAAAATCTAATCTGTTCACGTTCTCGGCTGGATGCTTTGGCCACAAAAGTCCAAAACTGGGGGTAACACTAGAAATAAGTTCATATATGATATGGCCACTCTGATGCTGCTCACTTGGTCAGTGCAACAGCCTGTTTTATGAAGCCAAATGCAAACAAATGAATACAGTGATGCTCTCAAAGAGCACACAGTGAAATTGCTTTGTGTTTTTTGACTATATTGGCTTTGATATCTGTCTGGTATCATTCGTTTAAATATTAAAATTTTAGTGAGGTTTATGGCTAAATAGTGTATGAATACAGGATTCAGATCATCAGAAAAACCCAAATTCTGTAACATGTGACCACTCTGAGGTAGCTGTGGCTCAGGACGTAAAGTTTTGAGGTGTTCTTGGCAAGATGCTGAACACTGCATCCTTGGTGGTGTGTGATATGTTAAAAAGCCCCAGAAATACAATTCAAATGAAATTATTTCTGTTTGTTGTTAAAATGTAAGCTAGCTTGAACTAAATCTACCACCTGATCAGCAGGCTGAAATGCCAGCAGACAGTAGCATCTAATTTTTTTTGTTCATCTTCCAGATGAAATTGGAAAGCGGTTCGTTGCCAGTGGCAGTGAGGGACTCTGAGGAGAGGTTGTCAAAAGGAGGAGTTTACCTGCTGGAGACCGGGCTCCACCTTTTCCTGTGGGTGGGAGCCAGCGTTCAGCAGGAGCTGCTGCTTAACATCTTTGGCACGCCGAGCTTCAGCCAGATCGACTCAAACGTGGTATTGAAGAGAGTTCTAATGAAAGGCTAACAAAATCAGTCATCCTGAATGTTTAATGTGAATTTTACCACAACATAAACAGTTTTATAATAGTGATATTACAGTTGTTTCCTGTATTGTAATGGTTTAAAGTATAATATATTTTCTGAATGTTTCTGCTTTTTGTTTCAGACAAGTCTGCCTGTTCTTGACAACCCCATCTCTCAGGCTCTCAGAGAGCTTATTTATTCTTTCAGAGCACAGCGATCACGATACATGAAGGCAAGTTTTCTCTTCCTTCTTTTACCCCATAATGTTTCTGAAAAGGAGCCTGTTATGGTTTGGGCAGCTTTGCATGATTCATAGTTCAAAATAATCCTTATCTCGCTTATACTGGCTCTTAGTGCTACCCCACAGGCCATTTTTAACTCCTCTCCTTTTAAGCCTGCTTTTCCCTGATTGGCTGCTGCTCCTAAACAGAAGGTTTGAAAAGCAGCTGAGTGGAGTTTTCTGTGATGCGTGACTGAGAAGACTGTTTAAGGATACCATCTTTGTGGCATCATTCAGGTCCAAAAACATAAAACAAACTGTCTAAACTGAGAATTTAAGGCAGCTTGAAACCTGAGCTTTTGGTCAACAGGAGTTATTTTTACATCTGCTGACCTCATTATTGGAAACTCTGGCCATGTTAATATGAGAATCCACCACTGCAACAATGTCTACATGACAGACAATAAGAAAATGTGCAACAGGTGCACTTTAAACAATTTGCATGCTACCTCTGTTGAGAAATAGATTTTTCATCTTCTTCTTCAAGTTGCCCCCATCTCACCCTATCCCTATTATCCTCCTCTGTCACACCACCGCTCTGCAGCTCCTCTACTGCATCCATTAATGTCCTCTGTGGTCTTCCACTTTTCTTCTTGCCCAACAGCACCAGTATATTCACCATCTTTCCTCTGTACATGTTAAATCCATCACAGCCTTGCCTCAAACTTTGTCTCCAAAATGCTCAACCTGAACTGTCTCGAGACCATCTCGTAAACCTTTCTTGTCGCTCTTTGTGCTATCCTTTTGTCACAAATCACTCCCAACCCTCGTCTCCACTCACTCCACCCTGCACGCACTCTCTTCTTCAGTTCTTTTGTGCACTGTCTGCTGCTTTGGGCGGGTCAGTCCAGTTATTTAGGTGGATAAATGTCTTTTTCTAACTTCTGTAACGCAGACTTCCCGATACGTGTATCTAACCTAGTGTTTGGTCCTAATTGGAAAGTTAGGAGATAAACAAAGAATTAAAAGGCAGCTATTTTTAATAATTGATGAAACATTTAAGTGAATATTAAAACGGAAAATCTCAAACTCAATTTTTTTTAATTTCATGATGTAAGTTTTAGGAGATGCTTTGATTTTTTTTTTTTTAATACACTTTTATGTTTGTCTTGTTGCAATAATTGTGAGCTGGATGCTCAATACGTTATTTAATTGTATTTTTTATGGGCACATTTTGTATCAAGTCTGCCTCCTCTTTCTCACACACCTTTCTCTGTCATTTTGCAGCTGATGGTGGTGAAGCAGGAAGACAGGGCCGAGCTGATATTCAGACACTTCCTGGTCGAAGACAAGAGCGCCAGCGGGGGAGCGTCATACGTAGACTTCCTGTGTCACATGCACAAGGAGATCCGCCAGCTTCTCAGCTAGGCCCCCCCCACCGCAAATTCCCACCTTCACCTGTATGAGCCCCCACCACTACCACCACCACCACCACACAGATCCATCCCAGTCACCTTTCCATGTGAAAGAAAGCGCTTGATCTTTTTTCCTTTCCTTTTTTTTTTTTAAACCTAATAAACTAAAGCTCCCCTTACTGTCTGTCAGCTGAGCACCAGAGACCAGCTGGTAGATCACATGTGTGCGTGACAGTGCGAGTGTGTATCTGTGTGTGAGTGAGAGAGAGAGACATAGGGGGGATCTGATGTTAATAAAGCTTTACTCTGCCTCAAATCTGCTGCTCCACAGCAGCAGGAGCGAAATAACTTATGAGGGAGAGTAATGTACATACAAAAATGAACAATTACGTATGCAACAGACTGACGGAGAAGGCGGATGCCGGCTGTAGTTGGTGTAATGTCTGTATTAAAAGCACTGAAAGGCTGTTTGGGTGCATGAATGACTCTTGGATAGAAAACACTTTTTATATGACTAAATCCCATTACAGTAAAGGACATAGGGAATTGAATAAATGCTGTTCTTTCTGTCTCTCATCCACTATAATCATGGCCTTAGTACCCCCTTCCTCCCCTTCTGTTCCCATGCTGCTCCAATCATCCGTAATGTGTGAGTGTGTGTTTCCAGATGTGAGAGGATTAGTGACCCATTGCCCAGTTTTGTTTTTTAAATCTCCTGCTGTGTCTCCAGGTGCGAGCATCTGACTTTAAGCCCTAGATTAACAACTCAAACTGGAGTCTGATGTGATCTTACCAACAGTAAGCACTGAAAATAAAGGTGCATGTAATTTCTGTGACTGCTGAATCGCTACAGTAATCGGCAATTCAGATTGGTTTCAATCAGCGTCAGTTGAGTTTCGCTCACCGGGGCGAGCATCTGTCTCTCGAGACTGTCATGAGAGGAAGCTCTCATTATTTCCAGGTCTATGCAGCACTGAGAAAAGCCAGAGACAAACTGAAGGGGAAATGAATGAGGCGTGTGAATCTATTATTTTAAGCGTCACAGTGAGGGGAAACGTGCTCCCGATCGCTTTGTTTGTTGGGCGATTGTTGAAGGCGAGTAGTGCTGCAGACTTTATATTAACAGAAGGCGTTGATGTCCGGGTCTGTCTGAAAGCAGGCAGGGATGAGCACAGAGCGGCAGCAGACGTGTGAACACCAGTGAATGTTTGCAAAGTTTTGGGTTGCCTCCACACTGAGAAGTTGACAAGCTGTTCAGTGTGTAAATAAAATATATAATCTGTACAGAATTAATAGAAAAATAACGATTTTAAAGGCCTGCCTGAATGGCTGTGGTTTGTTGATGGTTGATTTGTGTCACAAATAGCCTAAATATAAAATCATGGCTTTTACTGAGGAGAGGAAGACGTGGCTTTTCTCTTTTTTTTTTTCTTTTTTTTTTTTTCCTTTTTCTTTTCTCGATATGTCTGCGTGAATGTGAGGTGTGCGATTGTGTGAATGTGGGGTCGGTCCTGGTGAATTTCTCCTGAGGAACAGAGGGATCAGCCAACACACACACACACACACACACCACCCGTGAGGTTAAACTCGGTCTTCATTTATCACTTTGTTCCTTTTATAACGACGTGACTTTGTGCTCTGTGTGTGTGTGCAGCCCTCTGTTCCGTCTTTATGTTCACTGACTTCGATTGACCCGCCGTCTTGACTGTAATCATAATTTCTGTTCCTTTTATTCTTTTTTTTCATTGCCTCTTGGGACTGCTAATAAAATGATTGTTTAAAGTGAAACGTTGTTTTTTTTATTCTTGTGTTATCGCTGAAGAGAGTCTTACTTATCCATCACTGTGGGGGGAAAAAAGCAAAATTACAAAACATTGTCACTTCCTCTTTTTAACAATATGATACATTTATGACGGGTCTGCATTTTTCCGCATGCTTTCACTTCTCAGTTTCTGGATCCACAAAAATTCTCATAGTCTAGGGAAGTGTAAGTTTAGCATTGAAAAATTACGCTTTCCTGTATATTGCCTAACTCAGCATTTTATCAGGACCGCTGTACTAACTGAAAACCTCATGAAACGGTTATTTTTAATGATATCTGCTTTATCTGATGGCACTAATATCTGAGCAGATATTTATCATGATCCCAAACGATTAAGTCTGCAGGTAGCTAGTGTATCTGAGGCTGCCTGCGATATCATGTGCTTGAAGTTGTCTTGCTACTTTATCCGTCTGTCACATTGTTGTGAAGGAATCTGAGCCCTCTTTACTGCATTACTTGAGTTCATTGAAGTTTGCAGCCACTGTACTTCAATCAGGTTCGGGTCTACGTTTTGATTCGGCCATTGCAGCCAATCTGTTGTAGAGTTACTGCTGTGTTTGGATTCATCCTCTTATTGCATGACCCCAGCTTTAGCTGTTGGACAGGTGGCCCCACAAGCCTTCATCCAGAGTCGTCAGGTGAAAACCAACCAGGTCACCTACTGTAACTGATGCTCACCAATCAGTGTGTTAGACTATTTAACAATTAGTTTGAGGCAGTTTGTGTTTTTTTTGTTTTTCTTTTAATATAGGTAAATATCTAAACCATAGCACTAGGGAAATGGATAAAACAGACCTAATAAATTCACACTAAAATGTAATCATCGTGGTTTTATCAATGTGGAAACAAGCACATGACAGATGTTGATGCCCTTTTTTGCACCCAGCTTCACAGTTTGAGACCAGTTTGGAGTCAAGAAACGTTATATATATATATATATATATAGATATAGATATATAGATAGATAGATTGTTGACTGAACACATCCTTTGCGTATAAGTACATTTTAAAAAAATTGGTTATGTGTTTTGTCTTAGATATGTGTCAGAATAAAAATTGAAAATGTAATTATGTGCAGTGATTTTTAAGCTTATTCTTCAATTTTGAGCTTGTCTATTTATTACTTCATTAATAAAATCCTTACCCTTATCTCTATATAGTGTTTCTCGGATTCCAAATCTGGGAATTATTTCTTTTATTGGGGTGTGTATGAGTCCAGTTTAGCACAGGGAAAAGCCTCCACTCATTTAGAATAAGGGTCAATCATTACTAAGCAATATTTCTACATAATCCATGTGAGTGTGTTGAATCCATTTGTATGCGTATTTCACACCTTGCACAATATTTTCTGAGTAGTTACTAAATCCATATGTAGTAAACACTGTTATAAATACCATCCCTCCTGTTGAGGCAATATTGGAGTGTTGTATCTATATAAAGTGTTAGCTAGGATTGGTTTTCTATTTAGTCGCTTTAGAATTCCCTCTGCATTTTCTATTGCTCTGTTTTTAGTCTTTCTCGGGTTTAGGTGCTGATCTAATGTGGTTTCAAAATAATCACGTAACATAGTGAAGGTCAAAGGTATGCCTTCCTGTGCAGCTGTTTTTGCAGCTATATCAACTTTGTGGTTTTCTTGTGAAACTGTATCAGAAAGAGAGGACCAATTTGTTTATTTGGTAGTTCAGTCAGTTAAGAGTGAGGAAATAATGCATTCATGTTTGCAGTTTTATCTTGTTATACAATATTTGAAATTTTAAACATTTTTGGAAATATTTATGTGTTTTCTTGTTTGTGTGTTTTTTGTGCTGAAGTGGCCTTCACATCAGATGACAGTGCCAGCAGTGGCCCACAGCTCATTTAAGTTTGAGACCCTGCTCTAAAGAGATTAAAGTTCAGTTTTTCTGGTAAGTACATTTTAAACGTGATGTCATCTAAATAAACATCACAGTGAATAACAGAAGCACCTTCACAGCAGGCTAGGTACTGATCACAGTCAACCTTTTTTCGTTCCTTTAAGACCACACAGTGTGGTGTTATCTGAAAAGCTCACATCACTAGTATCATTGTCACTCATTTCATGGAAATATATACAATGCAATGTTTCAGCTTGAATCCAAAGTTCTGAACTGTCCAGAATTACCATTCCATACAGAGCCAATATGGCTAATAGCAACCAAAAAGAATCCTGGTGTAATTTGAAATTAGCTGCAGCTCTTTTATCACATTATGGGCATCAGGCTCAGAAGTCCAGCATTTAGATGAAACAGAATTCTCGGGTGTCTCCAGATCAGAAAAGCAGATTGGCGATACTTAGCACAAATAAACCTTTGAGTCCACCCAGCCAAGGTGAAACCCGGGGTAAACAGGCTCATCGAAGGTAGTGTGGAAGGTGTGAAGGAGTTTAAGGGAACCACAGGAGAGCATGTAAAAGGAGAGCATCCCTGCTGACCAGTCCAGGAATACTCCTACTTTGTTGGAGTTGGGTTTGGTGGTTATAGGAATGCCTGTGCCTTTGTGCAAGGCTTTGTATCCATCTTTGTTGCAGTTCAAGCCCCAGGAGGAGTTATTTCGACCTAACCAGCAGTCATCAGTCTCTCCCTTCCTGGATATTCGTTTGTAGGCTACTCCTATGAAGACTCTCCCAGTCCACTCCGCCTCCCAGTAGTAGCGTCCTGTGAGCCCTTTTCTACACAACACTTGAGGCCAGAAATCAAACCTTTCTGGATGGTCTGGATATGGCTGCTTGGTCCAGCGTGTTGCTTTCCTGTTTTCCTCGGATAGAGAAAGATCTTTATGTGCTGTGTTTGGGTCCAGGGTGAGTTTGATGATATCTGATGAATCAGATTTAAAATTTCAGTTCATATTTTACATCACACAGTTTTCTGAGTATAGGAGAAAGGAGGGAGGTTGTGGTTACTCACATTTCTTTGGACCTGGCTGAATCCGGAACTCACCACACTGGTCCATGCTAAAATCATAACAGAGGGACAAATACGTTCAGACACTTGCATCACAATTAATGTTAGTTGTGTACACTGGTGATACTGACATTATCTGGTGGAGAAACTATCTAATGGTTGATGGTTACATCACCCAGTTCTTCACTATTTCTGCACTGAAATAACCTGTTACTTTTCAGATGTTGTGGATACCATCACTACCTGAGTTTCACCAGGCTGCATTGTGGGTCCTCTTTCAGAGCTGTTAGAAGATTCAACCCTGAGTTCCCTGGGTGGTTGTAGCTCATGTCCAGCTCTCTCAGGTGGCATGAGTTTAAAGCAGATGCCAAGAAAATGCAGCCCTCTTCTCCCACACTGCACAGGGACAAACTTCAAGAAATACAGAAAGTTATTTCATCCAGCTGTCTCCATGACAGTGACAAGAACAACTTCAGTTTGAATCTGTCTTTGTACCAGTACATAGCCTCACACTCAGGACACTCACTTGAGGGTTTCCAGTTTACAGTCAGAGCTCCTCAGTCCATCAGAAAACCTTCTAACTCCTAAATCGTGAAACTCATTATCACTCAGGTCCAGTAGTTTTAGCAGGCAAGAGGCAGAGCTGACAAATGATGCCAGGTCATTGGAGCTGCGTTCTGTTAGGCTACAGCTCCTCAGTCTGCACAAAGGAAAATGCTGTAATCATGTGCTTACATTTTGGCTGAGAAATAAAAATAAAAGAAACATGTTGAATATTAACCTGAGCGCCTCCACTTTGCTGTTCCTCAACCCACTGGAGAGCTTCATTAGTCCTACATCTGTCAGATTGTTGTTACTCAAGTCCAGTTCTCTAAGTTGGGATGAACTGATGGCATTCGCCAGGTTCTCACAGCAGGTCAACGTAAGGTTGCATGCATTCAGACTGCAACAGGGAAAACAGCAAGAAAATGGTAAGTAATCCCAGGAAGCAAAATCCCCTTATATATGCAGATTAGAAATACGTCTGTTATCCAGCACTGTTTGAAATTTTATGCAAAAACATCTGTCAAAATGTTAGCTAACTGCCTAACATCATGTATATTTAATATATACTCACTAACTCTTTGTTAGGTACTTTTGTCATCTGATCAAGTGTTAATACAAACATCTAATCAGCAAATCAATGCATTTAGGCATGGTCGGGACATTCTGCTGAATTTGAAACCGAGCATCAGAACAGGGAATAAAAAATGTTTTAAGTGACTCTGAATGTGAAATGGTTGTTGTGCCAGACGGATCTAAGTATTTCAGAAACTGCTGATCTAGTTGGGATTTTCCCTCTCGAGCTTTACAGCGAAAACCTTGTGGTGTTTTCACATCAAACACAGCCAAAGCTTTAAATAATGTGTTGGGCATATGTAACAGAGATTCGAGCCAATAGGTCAGGCTGCAGCTTCCTCTAAAAGCTCGACTTTAAATGTGCTTTTTTCTATGCTTGTGACAGGCTGATATTAGCTATGCACAGATGCCCTGATTTTGCCCTGGTCATTCCAGGTAGGAAGAGATTAGGAGATGTTACTTAAAAGCACTGGGTTCCAATATCAATTGAGGAGTTACTCTTCTCAGTCTTTTGGAGTTTTGTTTTTTTCTCCTGTAGAAATTAATAACTGTAAACTACTTACTTTGCTACTTGGGCTGTTTTCACGACAGGTAGCAGCCTGAGAAGACCCTCCTCTGACCTGGTGTAGTTGCCCAGTTCAAACGTACTGTGCTCTTCTTCTGATGTCAGTAATACAAAAACTAGTGTGGCCCACTGGGCAGGTGAAAGATTGGCTCTGTTAAGGCTACCTGAGCTGAGGTAGCTCTGAATTTCCTTCACGAGGGAGTGGTCATTCAGCTCGTTCAGACAGTGGAAGAGATTGAGGCACCTGTCTGGTGATGGACTGGACCTGATCTTCTCCTTTATGTGTTTAACGATTTCAGTTCTTGTCTTTTGTTGTGTTCGGTTGTTGACCATTAGATGTTTCAGCAGCGTCTGATTGGACTCCAGGGACAGCCCCAAAAGGAAGCGTAGAAACATGTCAAAATCTCCTTTCTCACTCCGCAAAGCCTTTTCCACTGCTTCTTTGTAGAGGGTGAGCTCAGATGGTCTGGATAGAAAGCGTCGTGATGCGGACAACTTCACCAGGATGTTAACGTTGTCGTTGTGGAACGTGAGGAAGACATACAACGCTGCAAAGAATTCCTGAACACTCAGATGCACGAAGCAAAACATCTTCTCCTTGCACACTGTCATCTCCTCATGGAAGATCTGTGTGTAGACTCCTGAGAACATGGATGCCTGCTCAGTATCGATACCATTCAGCTTTAGGTCGCTTTCATTGAAGATCAGGTGGCCTTTCTCGAGTTCTTGGAAAGCCAGCTTTCCTAAAGCCAGGAGATTAGCTCTCACACAGTCAGCATTTGACTCCCTTCTTCCTGTCAGCCTTTTCTTCATTGCCTCCTCACACAAGGATAAGAAGTGTATGTACATTTGAGTGAGAGTCTTTGGTGTGTCTTTGCTCTCTTTTGTTTTCTCGAAAACAGTCGCTGCCATCCAGCAGAAAATTGGTATGTGGCACATGATGTGAAGGCTCCTGCAGGTTTTCACATGTGCTATCACCCGGTTTGCTAAGTTCACATCACTAATTTTCCTCCTGAAGTATTCATCTTTTTGCAGGTTGTTGAAACCTCGAACTTCAGTCACTAGATCAACGCAGTTCGCTGGGATCTGACTGGAAGCTACGGGGCGTGATGTGATCCACACGAGAGCCATAGGGAGCAATCTGCCCCTAATGAGGTTGGTCATTAATACGGCAATTGTGGTAGTTTGAGTCACATCTGACAGTATTTCACATCTGTTGAAGTCCAAAGAGAGGCGACTCTCATCCAGGCCATCGAGGATGAAGAGCATGTTTTTTTTCACATTAGTGAAAATTTCTATGTCTTTAATTTCAGGGAAAAGCACAACAAGAAGCTCCACTAGACTGAAGTTTTTCTTCTTCATCAAGTTCAGCTCTCGGAACGAAAGTGGAAATACAAATTCTAGGTTTTCATTTGCTCTCTCCTCCGCCCAGTCCAGAGTGAATTTATTGGTCAAAACAGTTTTTCCAATGCCAGCAACTCCCCGTGTGACGACAGTCCTTATGTCACAGCCATGTTCAGGCAGAGGAGCGAACAGGTGATCGCAGTGGATTGATTTTTCCTGGCCCACATGGATCCTGGGTGTCGTCTCGATGTGTCTCACCTCATGCTCCTTGTTGACTTCGCCGCTTCCTCCCTCGGTGACGTAGAGCTCTGTGTAAATGTTATTGAGAGAGATTTTGTTTGTTTCTGTCGCCTGCCCCTCGAGAATGTGGCTGAACTTCCTCCTCAGAGTGGCTTTCAGGTTTTGTTGACTTTCTGCAACCTTGTCAACTGAAAGAGAAAACATTTATTTAAATGGTTTACTTTTTTAATGTAACATTTTTAAATTAAATAATTGAGAAGCACTCACTTTCAGGCGGCAGAGCACCACAGCTGTCTGTATGGTCATTGTTGAGGTCCTCTTTACACTCTGCAAAACGACACAAAGATCAGAAGAGACCAAACGGCGCATTCACTTAACTGCGTGTATCTACATGTATCTACCTTGCGTTGCTGAGAAGATATTGATGTTTATGTTGCCAACATTTGAACCAATTATGGAAGGAGCGACCACATTGCCACCACTCTGTGCAGTGTAGTTTGGCTGGAAGTGATGAACCGCAGCCTGAATAAAGGGAACTGACTCGGAGAGAAAGCAAGAATAAGAGATCACTGAAGAAAAATGGTTGCTGGTGCTTTTCAGATTATCTTTTTGTTGCCTTACATTAAAAAAAATTAGACTTACCTTCAGAGAAATCATCTGTTTTATTACTAACGATTGATTGGTCCATTTTCTTTTTACAGTACTTTAATCCTCATGTAGTTTCTGTCAGGGAATACTCCTTGTCCTCAGTCTTTAACATCTCTGACTGTTCACTGAAGATATTTGCTTCCAAACAGTCAACTAGATGGTCAATAAATACATTAAACAAACCCTATTTTTTACTGTTACAAATCTGCTAAGACACCATTAAATCTAACAGACCAGAAGACGAATGCATGGCTGCTTACTAAAGTGAAACTGCCACTTAAATAACACACTGGCAGATGGTATTAAAGGAGAAGGTTACTTCCTGAGAAAAACAGGAAGTATGGTTTCTTGCATGCACAGACAGTCTGCCTTCTTAAACAAACCACAAAAGTTTCGTTTACTAAAAAATGTAAATGTCAAACAGCTGCAAGATATTTTGCCTTGTTTTATTGATTGCTTGATTGATTTTGGACAAACTAACTTGGTATCCAACAAAAAAAAAAACAGCAGTTTTTTAGGGTAAATGTAACAACCAATACATCAGACACAGATTCACACACAGGCAGCTAAATGCAGTGACAGAAGACATGTAAATTATGCAAAATCAGTATACCCAAACACAATTTCCATGAAAGGCCCGGAAGCAAGGTGGCATGGTGGTTAGCACTGTTGCCGCACAGCAAGAAGGTCCTGAGTTCAATTCTACCATCAGGCCGGGGTCTTTCTGTGTGGAGTTTGCATGTTCTCCCCGTGTTTGCGTGGGCTCCCTCCGGGTACTCCGGCTTCCTCCCACCGTCCAAAGACATGCAGCTTGTGGGGATATGTTAATTGGATAATCCAAATTGCCACTAGGTGTGAATGTGTGAGTGCGAATGGTTGTCTGTCCCTGTGTGTTGGCCCTGCGACAGACTGGCGACCTGTCCAGGGTGTACCCCGCCTCTCGCCCTATGACGGCTGGGATAGGCTCCAGCGCCCCCCGCGACCCTGAAAAGGATAAGCGGAAGCGAATGGATGGATGGCCCGGAAAGTCCCAAATCAGAGAGAAAATAAATCAAATGAATATGACAGAATATTTCAACAACACAATGGAACTTTTTGAGCTGTTAAACAAAAAAGTGTAGGGTAGGGTATTCATTCTGAAACGAAACAAATAAAAAATGTACTTTATAAATACAACGAAGTCAAACAAAATCATCTTCTATATCCTAATATATTGGAAAAGTTTTACTTACATTTTTTTGTCAGTTTGACCAAATTCTACCACGACCAGGATGAGGAGCCTTTGGTTTATCTTTATTGAAACTGGGAATGCTATGAGTCAAGCTTGTTTTATTCTACAAATACAGGCCATTTATTGTTTTATAATTGTCTTATAATTGATTAAAAAAAAAATCACTAGCCAGTAATAAAAATTAACCACCTGAGACCCGAACGCTTTCATGGCATGCATTTTTTATTTCTCTTTGATATTTGGGTTGATTGGGACCCAATGAATGTAAAAACAAAAAATTACCTGATTTTGTTTTTTTATACCTGATTTTTGTTTCTGAGAAAAATTAGATCCACATATGATGACATTCGTTTTCAATTTTGATAGAAGAGTGGCAGTTTAATGTCCTCGTAAGTGGAAATCAGGCCCTTGTAGCGAATTTGGTATTTTGGTCTAGACAACCCAAAATGTGATGTCCGCATATGTGGATGCCAGGTCCTAGGAGATTAAAGTGAAACCAACCATTTCTAAGCACTAAAACGGTGAAGACAGCAAACCCACTCTGGAAACTAAAAAACCAAAGTTGACTAAAAACAGAAATATAAAAACAAAACACCAAAATGTAACACCTCAGCCATAAACAGGGATAGTCTCTTACGCGACACATCTTACTCCACTGGAGGTTCTTATCTAGAGTAGATATGATGTCATCACGTTGTCTAGCAACTACCTACAAACCCATTACCCATTTGTGGGGTTTGTACGCCTACAGTACCTTATAAAGGTATTGCATTGCTCTCATTTTGCAATAACAACACCTCATTTAGAGAATAGGGAATACACTCATTTTTGCCATGTGAATTACCCCAGCCTACAAAATCATCATAATACATATAAATATGCAACCATAATGAAACTTATACACTTTATGCAGGTGAATAGTGTCTGGAAGATGTGTGTAGTAGTAGCCTCATTTCTTAGACATGAGATAGCTGACATTGTTTTTTAATCATACATTGATGTAAATACTTTTTTCTGTATGCAAACACACTTTGTCCTCAATATTTATCTTTATTTAGATTAGAAAACATTTTTTAGTGTGATTACATACATCAGTTTACCAACAGCATGAACAGTTAGTGTGATATTCTGTTATCACACTAGCATCAAATTATGTCACTTTTACTGAAACCTGTGATTCATGGATTTGTATTAGACCTGACTAACATCATTTTCCTAGTCTACAGGATCACCATAATATTATTAGTCATCATCAGCATCATTTATCTCAAAAAAGTGAGATAAGAGTAAAGCTTCTGAGTGAATGTCTGGGTTTAGATCAGAATGGTTCTGCTTTCTTAAAAAATATCCAGTCTTAATTTTTGCTTTTACATTTTATTTAATGCAACTTCAGACAAAAACATAAAAGATAATCAAATCATCCTTCCCGATAGAAGACAGAAATTGATTCTACCAAAATAGAATATTACATATGAAAGCATTAGCGAGGCATCAGTCACTGAAAAGAAGTTAAAAACATATTAGTTCACAGTTTGGTTTCACACTCTCAGACCTGCACACTGTAGCTGTGCTTGTTGAACACAAGATGGAAGCAAAGTCCAAGTTGTGCTTTGTCACTTTTACAGCATACAAAACACACGATACTGCCCAAAGAACTTTAAATGATGTAAGATCTACAAATAAATAAGACTAACAGGAAAAACACGAGAGAATATTTAACATAAACTGTGCTACTTTTCATCTAAAAGAAAGAGGGATAAAAAAAAAAAAACATAATATGCAATTAATACAAGTCATCTTTAAGTGAACAGTGAAACCATAACCATAGGAGGAGTTACAAATACATAAAAATAAGGAGGAGGAATGTTTGAGAGGGTCGTGAAGGAGCACTGGCTCATTTAACCCTCATATCTCATCAAGGTTATTATGTTGAAGTTAAATGAACTTAAAAAGGTTTCAGTCTTCATCAGCTTCACCAAACGTGACAACAGTCGTTACAACTAACGTTTCAACAAATTTAATGATGAGCACATGGGGAACATTTTCTTTATGTTTGCCAAACACTGAAGTCTCCTCAGTCAGATCTTCAGACAGTGGAAGCTCTGGAGATGAAGGAGTCGACAACTTCAGGGGCTGCAGATTAAAAGAGCAGAACAGAAAAACACTGATGGTGAGTAAGAAACAGGAAATCTTCTCTGGATTAAAGATTATTGTGTTTTATGTTGCTAATCATCTTCTCTAATCCTGGACTGGAGGTGTTACACATTTATCCTTGCGTTCTGGGGTTCTCACTTTTTATTCTTAGTTTGTGGTTACTATAATCATCCATTATGTCCCTAATGGATAATGGATAACTTCAAGAAAGCAAACGCTCAGAAGCACAAGGAAAGCCAGTGAATAATAAAAAAGCTGTTCTCTGGAATCCCAGAGTAAAACTTTAGAGCTGAAAATGAGCTCCAAAGAATCATTTCCTTCACTGGAGGTTTAGTTACATCAGCCTGACTAGTGAGGTTTTTGGGTTAGGTCAGTTTGTTGAGGTGAGTTTTGGAAAGTTGGGTTATTTCCTGTAATGAAACCTGCTGGACTGTTTGTCCTTCATCTCCTCTCTTAGGACTGATGTGTCCTGATCATTCCGGCACTTAAATATGCTGTGCTAACTTAAGACTAACTGCTAATTTTCTGAGCACTCTGTGCGGTTGTAAAAGTAGCTGAATAAAGATGATGGTGATTAATTATCGCACATCATCCATAATTGAGTCAAAGTGCCTAATGAACCTATTAAGATGAAGCTACATGGTTGATATATGGGTGTATGAAGCGTATAAAGAATGAAGCACACTCACCTGCACATTTCTTTGTCCTCCTGATGGATCAACTCTGTCGCTTTCACTCAAACTCATCATGGAAACATTAACTGGAGGCTCTGGGTTGTTGTTGACTTTGTTACAGAGTGAACATTTAAAAGACTTTTTCCACTTCTCACATTCTTGCACACAGCCGTTACAGAAGCTGTGGCCACACTGCAGCACCGCAGGCTCAGTGCAAACATGTGAACAAAGTGGACAACAATCCTCAATGAACGCTTCATCACTCCAGCTTAAACCACTGTTGGACTCTTCATCTGTCTTTGTGACTTCAAAAGGCTCTTCATCAACTTGATCTTCAAAGTCTGAATCTTTGAATTCATCATTTGGATCTTTGTGACTCAGCACTTGAGCCCAATCTTGTATTGTAGCTTCCACAGCATCTTTCTCATTAATCTGTACCGGCTTATCCAAAGTATTCTCCAGGTTGCACATTGTTGGATTCTCTCTCGTATGCTGTGCAAAGTGCCAGTGAAACGTAGAGCTGTGGGCTGATGGTGAAAGTCCAGAAACAAGACTTTAGAATAAATTTATGAAAGAAAATGAAACATAAATTAATAAAAACGGTAACATCTTTACATTTTAATTTAAAATAGATTTTAAAATTGAACAAACTCATTAATTTGATGCTCACCTTTGTCTTTCAGGCTGACTCCAAGTAGCTTCTGCTATTTTCTTGTGTAGAGTTCGTCTTTCACTCTTCAAATAACCAACAACTTGCTCACCTTAGATCCTTTATTTGGAATGGGGGCGGGGCTCCAGTATGGTAATGCATTTTCTCTTGAATGTGATTGGTTAAAGTAGACTGAGAGAAAATAACCTGTCGACTTGCGGAAAATGTGCAGTTTTTTTTCTGGGGAAGACTGAAGGCGGAGTTGTATTGAGTATGAATTATTTGACATCCTTTATATTAATATGACAACTAAGAATAATAAACAACTAACTCTCTTCAACAAAGAAAACATCGTGGCACGCAGCAATCTATCAAACAAGCTATTTCTGAAAGTAACAGAGGCAAATGTAATATTATTTCCAGATTTACAGTCCAGTCAAGGGTATTTGGTCAAGTAGTGGTTATACAATTCATGCCATGTACTGACATCACTATGTCTGTGGAGTCAGAGAAATGTCATTTCAATCCTCACAAGTACACCTGC